ACATATATATTTTGAATTACATAACATCCATTTATATGCATATCATAATATCAAATCATAAATCATTTTAGTATAAAAGACTATCATTAGATATTCACAAATAACCATAAATATAGCAAAGAGCTCATAAATATAAGTACAATTATGGTATATATATCTAAGAAAAAAAAAGTCATAATATTATCAATAGCTTTAATCATGTTTATTCTCTCCATAATTATGTTTAATCCCTATGATATAGGTAATACATCTCCTTATGTTATGATATAGAAAAAATAATAATTTTTAAAATATATTCTAATACATGACCCAATATAGCAATGTTCACTCGATAATTATCGTGTCATAAAAAACTAAAATATTAATTTTTTTTCGCATATCATTTATGCAATCATATATCATTTGAAACTAAAAATATTCAAACGATTTTTTGTAATCTTTATAAAATATAATATGATTGATGTTTTCATATTAATTTAGTTAGGATAACTTAAAAACACATATAAAATAATAGATAATTATTCAAACCATATATTTATTTGAACTATCAAAATCTAAATTATTTTATAGTATTTTAAAAATAATAATTTTTTTTTAATACTATATAAATCATATACGTTTACCAATATTAATCTCACAAACTAGATGAAGTTATCGGATTTCCATACACATGCTTCTTTTTATTTTCTTACACTTTCCACAATAGCTATTTTTCAAAATATTTTTCATAATAGAAATATCAAATTAACTAAGATCATTAGTTAAATCTTGGATCACAATCAAACCTCAGATCGATCGATGGCTTCACCTTATCATGATTCAATTCGAAAGTAATTTATGATAAAGGACCATTTGATCAATCGGATATTGATACATGACTAGTAGATTTATAAGAAAATATTCATTTACCGTAGGATAAAAATTTTTGATTCTCATATTCCTTAATCAATGTGAGACTATATATATATATATATATATATATATATATATATATATATATATATATATATAATCCGAACATAGCCTCGTGTAGCAGCGCGCGAAAAATATCCGCCCAAAAGGCGGGAAAATTGTAACTCTTTTACGCACTCCCCGCCCCGTTCTCAAGTCAGTCTCATCTTTGCCCTCCGCTCTTCGTCTCTCCTTCGCCGCTCTCTTCGACCGCCCCATCATTCTCTCCATTCTCTCCCCTTTCCAACACTTATATTCCATCTCAAGATTCCTTGATCCGACCAGCCGAAACCCTAACTCGCGATCCCGTCGCGAAAGGCAAGAGAGACATGGACACGGAAGGGCTCTCCATCATCTGCGCGGGGATCGGGTACGCCGATGAGGACGAGAATGGCGCCATAATTGGTTACGCCAAGGGCGAATATTGTCTAGGTAGAATTTCTAGCTTTAAACCTCTTTTTGAATAGGTTCTTGTACTCTTCTCGCGGACACGAATCCTTCGCGACATCAACGAGATTGGTGTTTTTTGTTTTTTTCCAGATAATTTGAAGGATCTGCAGAGATTTTTGAGGCGGGATGATCCACGGCAGCGAGACGTGTTCAAACAGATTTGCAAATGGAACACGGTTTCACGAAATTTGGTTCCTCTTATAGAATATTACCAGAGCGATCGGAATTTGGTAATCAATGCTGGTAAATCCCCATGTCATCGCGGTTTTCTTCTTGTAGGCTGAGTTGCGATTGTTATTATATTTTTCTCTTGTTCCTCCTGTGTGCAGTCAAGATTTTGGTGTTCCTCACAATGCCAATAGACCATTCGTCTGATGGTATTGCACAGCAGATAGAGTATCTGTGGGATTTAAAGGCTGCATTGACACGTCCTGTCACAATAGCCGTAATAGTATGCCTTCTTGAAGATCCATTGGACCATTTAGAATGGTGATCTTACAACTTCCATCTTTTAAGTTTTTTTTCTTCTTCTTATAATATCTATGCTAATACTTCTTAGATTTAGTTTGGTGCTTTTCATGTGAAGTTGGCAACACTACAAAGCGAGGTTGAATTTTCTTTTGTTCTGCTTGTACATCAGAGAAAATGAAATCATTGTACGATGCAAACATTTTGTAGCGATGACAAGAAGAGTATTGATTAAGATCAGCTGACCTTTACTACAATTCATTATTTTAGTTGTCCTATATAGGCACAGTGGGACTTGTAATTTTCCTGAATTTGGACTTTCATCTCTTGATCATTACAACAGCTGAACCAGAGTGTCTATCAAATGCAACATCCTTCAATTCCTGTTGCAGTTAATAATTGTCTTATAGTAATTATTTCTCTCTCGTGCATACCTGATCTATTAGTTTGTCTCATTAGTAATTCATCATCTGATTATGAGATCCATGAGTTGCATCAGGTATTACTTTCTGCATGCTATATCTTATGTTACATGTCTCCAGAACTACTTAATGCGCAAAAGCCTGGGCATATATGTTGCTATCTGGGGTGGCTTTGCTGGTTCGTTATGTGGTATATCTAAGATGTTTTGATAACCATTACATTTGCTGCAGCAAGTCCTACTGTCTATTCCATCAAGGTGAATTGATGGAATGCTGTATACCTGAGTCTACCATTGGGTTGTGGACTGGATCAAGTAAAACATGTCATTTCAAATCTTGTAACAAATCTGACCGAAGCATATGGCTATAAACATCTTAAAACAAAATGCTTATATTCAACAACATTTCAACAACATCTTACAACATAATGACCTAATTTGTAAGACAAAAGTGAAAGGAGAGAAAGAAGAGAGAGGATAGTAAGGGAGGAAAGATAGAAAAGAAATAATGAGAGACTGAGATGAAAGAAAAGAGGAAACTGAAGCTCCTATTCTCCTTCCATTTTACACCATCATTACTAGAGACCACAGCTGCATCGTCCTTGGGCACTTCCACCTAGTGTCTCCCATTTCTACCACCAAAGCACCACTATAGCTACCTCTTTTGGCTTCACCACTGGTGTCGAATTTTTGGGTTACCCTTTGTCATGAGTTCACTTGTGATGTTGGTATCAATCCTGGGGATGTTTCCGTCAAGGAAGAGAAGAATAAGACAGGTTCGTTTGGGTCAAGGCTAATAAACAAAGAAGAGGAGAATCGGTGACAAGTTATTTGGTTGAAGGCTGATGACCAAAGAATTGAATTGGCAAAAAGTTATTGCCATGTTTAGCTGGTGACCGTATCCACACTTCAGCGCTCCATTAATCTTCCTTGATGGAGTCTGGTGGTAATACTCAAGAGCAAATTTGCTGCAAGTAGGACAGTTTGAGAACTTTATTGCTGCAAATCAAGTTTGAGAACCAAGATGAAATCACTCCTTATCAATTGCTGCAAATTATTTAGAAGTGATATGATATTGGATTTGCTTTCCCACAATCCCTTGTGCTATTTTGGCTGATAGCATTATATCATATAATGATCCTTAGTCCTCTTCTTATTTCTACCATATTTGCATTCAATGGCAATAGTTGCTGACCAAGTGTTTCTGTTTAACATTATATTCAAACACAGTAAAACATTCACGGATGATGATTGGAAATTGGTTCAGCTGGTGCTTACATTGTTCCGAAATGTCCTAGCCATCCAAGATATTACACTGCAACAGAAGTCATCTGGATCTTCCACTCAGTTTTTCTGTTTGACCGATAGATTTTTGGAGCTCATGTTTCAAGAGTATGTACTGGATCTGATCTTAGTATTGACGCAGCATGTTGATGGTTGTTCTGGCTATCTTCAGCAAGATAATCTTCTTCTATTGGAAACATTCTACTATATTTTTCTGGGCCGGGAACCAGAGCTGATAGCCAAAGTTTCTAAAAGAAGCTCTAAGGTCTATTCTGATCCTTCTCCTACTTGTTTGTGATAATCAATTTATCTTAATGTAGATTTTTCAAATTTTTTTGCACTTTATAGTTAGTTATACGTTGACCTTTATGATAAGAAAAGTCCTCTTATTTTCTTTGTCTTAGGCATTTTGAAAGCTTTGTCTCCTTTAAATATTTCTGTATACTCTGTTTTCTGTGACTGGAGGCATTACCTTTTACTGTTAGTTTCTGAGATGGATAATATGGAAGTCATATGTTGAAGTCTTCTTGTCCAAACAATTGTCTTGCTGAATTGTTTTCTGTTGATATTGCAAGCGTAGAACTTCTCCAGTTTTAGATGCTAAACATTTAGGAACAAATAATTTATTAAGCTACTTTTTCCTTTCTATTTGAACTGGCAATTCCATGGTAAAGCTCATATGCGCAGGTCAAAGAAGATATCACAACTACTGTAGATTCTCTCAGGACAATTATGGATGAGGAAGAGGAAAAGAGAAGAATAATCAGGCTGAGGAACTTGGAACGGCATTCACAATTCAGCGGAACATTTACTCGCCTTGGCGTGGTACAACTCTTTAACCAACTGCTGATACCATGAAATATTTTGGTAATATAGATTGATGGTTGATGAGTTTCTACTGCTGTTGTGATTATAGGATGGATCGAAAACCCTATTTAAACGTAACCCAACTTCTGCTTCTGAAAATGGCATGGTAAAAGTTCATAATGTTCAACGTGGTCCATTAAAGAGGATTGCTTGGGACCATGACAACTTGCCTCTGGCAAAGGAAAACATTACGGAATTGCTGTATGAATTCTTGAACCAGTTTTTGTCAGGAGGTTATAATGGTAGGCTTCATTAATAATTTAGATTTGTTGTTCCTTTTTCATGTTTTTCATCCTTTCCAAGTCTTGTTGGTCTGATATGGCACATACTATAATCTGGCCTACTGCTCAGTTTTGATGCAGTCCATTCACGATGATATCAGTAAGGAATGCCAGTCCATTCAAAAAACTGATGTTATGATGTTTTTTGGAGTTGCTAAATTTGTTCTAGCCTTCCAGCACCAGAAGATCCTAATCTCAAAGGTGAGAAAAAGAATTGAGGGTTGCAGTCATTCTTGTCCAAAATGTTCTGGGCATAACTTGGTTTATCTATTGTGGTGCTTATGTTCATGCATTGATACTTGGAGCTTCTTGCAATGTTTTTGATCTTGCACCATACCAGATACCATTTTTGAAGGTATTTAAATTAAACATACAATTTAATTTTGATTTTTGTAAAGGACAAAAGAAAAAAACTAATTTAGGATAGTGTTTGTAGATGTCTTTTAAATGCATGTGTGATGGAAGAAGGTGCTCAAAGATGATTTGTTAGTTGGCTTCTGCATCCTGGTTCTTTTGGTATCATGATATTTAGTCTTTCTCATTTTAGATGCTTGTGGCTGAGCACAACTGAAAACATGTTATTATTAATCGGCTTAGATTAAAAGTGGTCTGAAGCCTTCATAGAAATGGAAAGAGGGTGACGGCTAATGTTTCTACTTCAGAGGTGGACTTGTATATGCATGCAAAATCCTCAGGAGGGTTAACACATTAACATGTATCTTTCATATAAGTTAATGCTTTATGCCTTTTCCATAACCCTGTCCTATTTCAGTTTATTACACCCCAAACCCCAAGAAATATTGAATATTTTATTTCAGTTACCTTTATTCATTTGTAGCATTTCATGTTTGTGAAAGTTGTGGAAGTGAATTGTAAGTTTTTCAGTAGAACTTTTCCAACTTTGGTGCAATTTTCATTTTATATTTTAATCTACAGTACTCTCCCATTATCACAACCTCCCAAAAATCTTCTGATTTTTTATTGGGTTATGCATTTTTGGTTCATAAATCATTACTATCATTCTAATTTGTTTAATCTTCTATAGACTTCTTAATTATTAAAGCCAAAGCCAGAATGAATAAGATGGTTTGGATAGATTATTGGAGGGAGCCAAAGGGGAAACCAATGATTTTTATGCAGGGTGCCATCAGGGGAATGTCTGCTGATGTGGAGTGTATATAGTTTGCCAAAAAGGTACTGGCATACTCCCATCATAAAAATGGGAATCCTTGATTCTAACCATGTTTAAATATTTGCGTCCAAGCTTGACTGTGCTTTTGAGAAAGCATATTAAGTTGAAAAAAAAGGATGCCACTTTGCCAAATGGAGTCCTTTTTTTAGGATTCACAGTAAGAAGTGCAGTAATGTACTAATGTGAAACAAGATATGGAAGGAATATAAGACAGAAAGTTCTTTAAAGGAATCAAATTTTGATATAAAAATAGTTTAGATGTTTCCTTCTTTTCTCTGTGGACATTTAAAGTGGATGTTTACATGAGAATCCATAGGGCCTAATATTGGTCAAAGATTTCCTCTTAAATCTAACATGCCTTTTTGGCATACTCATGTTGATCTTCACTCTGTATTCTCATTGTTTATTATCATAGAGTAAAACTGACTGCAGGTAGTACCCAATTATTCATGGACCATCTAAGTTTTTCTGAGTGTGTTCTCACTGTTACAAGTTGTAGGATTGATCAGCACTTATGAACCTTTCTTCCTTAAGTAGGCTTCGGAATGAATCTCTGATTGACATAATGTTTTCAAGCACCACCACTTAATTTTTCCAGTGGTCTTACGGCTCTTTGTTTATAGTAAGACTGTTTACTAGCATGATATGCAACAGGTACTAAGTCTAGATCAGTTATCTATGTTTAATTTAGCAAGTGCTTTTGTTACTTTGATTTCACGTTCTCTTTTTGTCAGGAACCTAACATGGAGGAACCCATTTCTGATCCTTCACATGAAGATGAATTTGCCAATAACTTATCATTCCATGGGAATATATGTGGACCAGTTGCGGAGACCATAAATGAAGCCATGTTTAATTTAGTCATATCTAAATGGCTTCAGGCTTTTGATAGCTTGAAAGAAACTAATGACTACAAATCCCTATCAGCAGCTGGTTCTTTGTTTAAGAATATGGTCAGTGTACATGCTTTTTCTATGTTGGTAATTTGGTTGCATGTAATAGATCAATGAACTAGCGCCATATTTCAGCATTGCATTTAAAGTTCTGCTCTGGCTTGTTTAAACCTCAAATAAAGAAGTTCAATCTTGTGGATAATGAACTGTGTCAACTGTTGTTTTCTAAGGTTGGAGTGGATTTACAATATCATAATCTGATAATAATTAGGTTGTTGAGTACATTGCAGTAGTTAATACTTATTACTTGGTTATGTGCTATCCATCTATGTTTTGGAAAGTGAAATTAATCTTTTTATTAGCCTGTCATTAAAATAACATAGAAGTTGGCATATGTGCATTCATCCAGATATCATCATCAAGTTGACCTGTCTTGGATTTTCTGGACCAATACTTCAAATGTAGAGAACAAGAGTAGACCTATAGTAACTTGCAAATCTCTAGCAATATGCTATCAATAATCTCTTCATTTTTCTAAAACAATTTATAATCTTCCATTGAACAGATAACATATGCATTCAGCATAATTGTCCATTGAGGATTTATTGGAACACTAGTCAAATTTTGTTGTCTACAATTCATGATTGATAAATGGATTTCTATGGTCATATTCCTTTATTTTTTTGAAATTTCTTTCTACAAATCTTGTAGCCTTTTGAATTGTTTAACATCCAATGCATAAAACAAATTCTGAACATGATTTCACATCCTATCTTTTTCTTTTGGTATCAGACTGATACCTGTAAAATGTATTACAAACTGTCTTACATGTTTAAAATTGTTTCCAAACAAGAGTTCTTGAAAGAAAGAAGCACTTTCAAAGAGAACAAGAGTGGTGGAGATAAATCATCTAACATTGTTAATGCTAGGAATAAGAGAAAATGTCTTGTATCAAGGCCTCATTGAGCTACAGCGTATCATGTATATGTAGGCTAATGGTGCCAAGTGGCCAACTCTAGCATTGAATATTGTCAATTGTAACTGATCTATCCTTTAAAATCCTGTAGTATACCTTGCTGCAAAGCCTGGCCAAACACATCTTTTGAGGGTTTTGGGTGCCCAACCGCCCTAAGGGCTCGCTGGCCTCTAGTCCGAGCTGGACAGGGTTCAACTTGAAATAGGATTAATTTCTCTCTATAACTTGATGTAGGAAACCAATTCAATCGCCAAAATCTTCGTCCTAGTTGCCCTTCCTAGTCTATTATGATACTTTATACAGTGTCGCATGAATATCATATAACTGCTCGAGGCCTCTCAAGTGGCTGCCCTTCTTGGGCTGGCCTTAAAATGCCATTAACATGGCAGGTGAACTTCATGCTTGCCTGCCTAGTACATGCTGATGTTGGGTCCAATGTCTGAGTTCATGAGTGAGTGTAAGCATTGGCCACAACTTGTCCATGTCCAGCCTTTTTATGAACTGTCTTCTTTCTAGATGCAGTAATCATTAACAATAACTTCTAATGCTTATTTGAATTATTATATTAACTAAAATGCAGTAATTATGCCATTCATTATGTTTGACTTGTTCATTACAATCTGATATAGAACATAGAAGATATAGTCTTGGTTGTTTGCATCAGATAAGCTTTTGAACCACAATGTACTTGTACTGTATCAATTGATGCTTGAAAGTTGGAGATCTATATAACAATAACAACAATCCGTAATGTCTCAACTATCTAGGGGTGGCTACATCGATCTTTTGTTGTCATTGAGGAGTTGGAGTTATCACTTAATTTAATGCTCATTATTTCTTGTAAAATCCAAATAAAATATTTTGGCATTAGATATTCATTTTTGCAGTATGAGTAAACCATAAAGTGCCTTTTATTTTTGCAAATGATGATTTAGACCATTTAATTCTGAGAGTTGTATATCAATTGCATGTGTTGGTAAGCCTATCAAGTGCTTTATTGACTTCACCATGCAATGTATTTTATTGTCTATAATGGATTTGCTCTTTACTGCATGCCAAAAGTGTGACTTGCAAAGTTTTTTTTATGTTTTCTGTTTAATTTTTTGTTCTTTATGCAGATTCGCATGTTAGATTTGGTGCTAAGAATGTTGCCTGAAGATTCAAAGGAAACTCAAACTGCTCGTGTTCTACTATATAAGTTGTTCTATGATCAGACGGATCAGGGGCTGACTCATTTTCTCCAAAATATGTTCAGATCTTTCAACACCCATAAACAACCTAAAAGGTTCATGTTATATAAGCTTCATGATTTTTGAAGGTTTAGTTTATGATGTCTGTTTCTTATGTATGTTATATAAGCTTCATGCTTAATGGAAATACCATGTATCGGGTTCATAGTAGGATATGTAAATTATAGATGGCCAAGATGATTTTATTTTTATAACTATACTAATTGTTTGTGCTTTTGTGTTACACAAACCTATGCTTTTATCATGACCAGAAATAAGATCTGAAGGAGAATTGAATGCTTCACATGCAGTGTTATGTTCTGGCATGCTAGAGTCGTATCTATATGTTTATCAATGGAAAACAGTTTCAAATATGAGCTGCTTTGGACTAAAACTCTTACAGATGCTAGAGTCTTAATATATACTGTTTTGTCAATTTATTGTCTTTATATTTATATGCTTATTGTTAGTAGCATAATGTGGTACTTATGTTTTCAACTGCTGCGGATTCTGTCTGTATCAATTGGTGCAAAAAGCACGTGTGTTTTCTTGTTCTTGTGGATTATTGTGTGAAAGAGTCATGTTGGCCTAGTTAGCAGTGCTATAACAAGCCTACTTATCTTACTGAATCCTGTTGAACTACAAGATAATCTTCCTCTTTTGTAGTTGTCTCCAATATCTTTTGTCTTTCCTATTGCACACTCTTAGGTCATAAACTTATTGCTACAACAAGTCTACAATGAACTGACTTGAGTAGACCCTAAGCCCAAACTAAAACCTAAGTTACCTCCTATTTTCACTGTAAAATTTCCTCTGTGCATCGTGTATATTCTTTCTTATTTGAAGCACTATTAAATATACTGGTTAGAATTCATTGTTGAAATTTACAGTTTCTTCATCAGTGATCTTGCAGATTTGTTGGAAATAATGCATGTAGTGTTACGACTGATGGAAAAGCTTCAAGCACGAGGTACACTAAGGGTATGTTCTATTCATACCTGGAAGTTTTGAAATTGGGCTTTGCCTATAGGCATTTCAATGATTCCTTGCGCATGGTACTGGTCTCATGCATTCCATACAAAAGCTAGATCCTGATGCTTATACTTGGATTTTATTTGCATCCCAAACTACCAGAGTTTGTTTCAGTCGTTGTTAATTCTTAACAAAGTCTAAGTTATCTTTTCAATTAGTCCTTACAAGTTATATCAGGTTACAGATCATAGAGTAACCTTTTTAATAAAATGAAAGACATAGAGTTGCCCTGGTAAATTACTTGCTAAATCTTGTTTGTTACTATGTGAGCTTTAGGTTGCTAGAAAATCAAGGAAAGGCAGAAAGAAGAAGACAAATACAGAGGCCAATAATTTGGGAGAACATGTGAATCCCAAACATATTGTTGCTCAAACAGAGGAGACTGGTGGGCATTCAAATAATCTGTCAAAAGAGCAATTAAGAGAGCTAAGTTTAGCTGATAAAGTAGGAGATAACCAAGAAGGCACTTTTATGTCTAATGATGCTGCAGTGCCTGATGCGTCTGTGCACAACATAAGACACAGTGGAGATGACATGGTAGCTTTAGGTGGTGATGTGGTGAATACTAATTTCATTGATCCAGTACATGAACCAACAGACTCTTCCAGCGATGATCAGCTGCCTGAGACAAACGAAGTGGACTTCAATATATCCAAATTGGTCGCTACTTTTGCAAACAATTATGTTGTGCACAATTTATGCTGGTTGCTGAAGTATTATAAAAGCAATTCTGTGAGTACAAACCACCACATCATCACCATGCTGCAACGAATTTGTGATGATCTGGATATTTCCCCAATGCTCTACCAGGTAGAATCTGAGTTGACACATGCCTATCTCATCCTAATATTGATGGTTTATTTGTTCGTTCTAAATAATCTGTCTACTCATGCAGTTATCGGTCCTCAGGGTATTCTATAATATACTAGCTGACCAAAAATCATCAGCATCCAAGGAATATGCTAGTATTGTAAATTTTCTCACTAAGTTTACAAGGAAAATGCTGAAGTTATTGAAAGACCGACCGTTGCTTTTTGTTGAAATGCTCTTCTGGAAGACACGGAAAGAATGTCATTGCATCAGTGCAGATGTTCTAATGTCTGGCCTAGCCAAAAGAGATTCGCATACTGATGAAGTTGTTTTGACAAATGATATAGGATACAAACAGAAAAACATAGCAGATTCTCTTGGTGATGATGAATTCGTGATACCGTATGATCTCAATAACCAGAGGCAAGTTACAAGTGAGGAATTTGTATCTCATCATATATGCTAATTATGTCTTACAAAGGATTATTCTCTTTTATTGTTCTAAATCAAATTCCAGTACTAGTTCTATTGCTAAGTTGATCAGCTCTGTGACTGTGCAGGGATGAAAATCCATTTGATGTGTTTCATGAAGATGATTTGTACAAAACTAAGCAACATGCTAGTGAAAAGAATGTTATGAGATCCATCTCTAATGATGATGATGAGATGGATGTAAGGTTAGCAATCATCAAAATATTCAATGAATTTTTTTTCTTTTGAGCAGATTTTCATTTGACTTGTAAGTGATGCAGCAAAGGAACATCATCTAGATTTCAGAGGACAAAAGATTTCAAATGGCAGAAAAGTTATATATTTGACCAAAAACAAGAGACCATGATAAAACATTTATATGATAAGTAAGTGTTTTGAGTATTTTTATTGTTCTCGAAGCAGCAGGCTTATTTGGTTTGGGCATTTTAAATTTTCCAGATACAAGGATGATAAAAAGTGCAGTCGTCTTATAGCAGAAGCTTTAGACCCTGAAGGAAAAATAACTGCAGTTCAGATCTACTGTAAGCTTAAACAGCTTGGTCTACAAACCACGAGGAGTAAAAAGCTGGCATGTGTTGATGTGCCTTTGCCAGCTGGAGATGATCCCACTGAAGAAGCTGGTACTGCATTTACCATCACTCCAAAAGGACATGAGAATGACTCTTATCTGAAAACATCTATGTAAGCTCTGTTCAATTATATAGCAAGTCTTATGAATATCATCTCCAAGACATACTTTGAGTTTAGAGAAAACTAGATTTTGCGTGAAATGATGTGCTAACTTTTGTAGCAAACCCTAACCTGAAGTTTCATACTCATCTAAAACACCATTTTATGGTATGAAATAGCTATCAGCCAAAGTCTATTAGAGTTAGATAACCTATCTGTTTCCTAAGAGTTTGATTGAGATCTGCAACAGATTGCATATATCCATCTGGAATACTCTCTGTCAACACTCGTGTAAGTAATCTTATTTATTTATTCCTTTGGATTTATCATGACCCCGTTCTAAAATGTTCATACTAAGGGTGCAGTCTGGATGATGTGTTGCAAAGGTCCAAAAGTATCACTAAATGCTCCAAACCATATTGTATTAGGACCTTTCTTTGGGGTGCACCATTACTGGGTCACTCTTCCGGTTTATATTTATTTTTGTGATCGTCACGGATGATTAGCAGTTTCAAATTTTGCTCTTTTTTTTTTTCCAGCCGCAGAGGAAAGAGAGTACAAGCATTCAGCAAAGATCAGGAGCTTGAGATCAAAATCCTCTTTGAGAGGTTGATGCTGATTATGTTCTGTCCATTTTGCTTACCATTGGCTAACTTTTCATTTACAATAATTCGTCAAATCTGTTGGATTGGTGTCTGGGCATGAAACAGCTGTTGAGCTTGGTAGATCCTGCAAGTGTACATTACCATGGAATTTTCTTACAATAACCCTTTGTTCTTTGTTGATGTTTGCATGTGCTATACAGGTTTAAGGATCATAAGAATTGCAGTCATATGATAGCCAAAGCTTTGGATGCTGATAAGACTTACACTGCTGCCCAAGTTTCCCGGAAACTCAAGCAACTAGGTCTGCTTGCTCCTAAAAAATTGACCTCACCTGAAATTGAGAAGCACTCGAGAGATGATCAAAACAAAGAGAAAGGACTGCAGTTAGAAGAGACGTTGTTTGCAATAAAAAAAAGGTACATGCTTTTCTTTTCTGTCACAAAAGTGCACTTGGATGCCATGTTGCAGGTTCTTGGTTTTTGGTGATGTGCTAGCCTGTTGGTTCTTTGTGTGATGATTAGTCCAAAATCCAAATATCATCTTAGTCATGCTACTAATGCTTCTGTAGGTTTTTATCAGATATCCTGACCATTGTCAGTTGATTCTTAAATCAGATATCTGTTACCAAGTTCTTTATGTCAGGCTAAAGCTTTTTATTTGTTCATTCGTTCGAAAGCCACAGAAAGAGGAAATCCTTGACAAAGGAGGATGAATCAAGTAGCCCACCCCAGAATATAGAGCTGCCAGTGGAAGATGATTCTGGAGTTCTGAGAACCACGTCAAAGTGTGTATCTGATGTATCTAATAACATAAATCTTGACAGTTAGGACCCATCTACTTTCTTCGTCTGTCAGTTTAGTCTGGCTAATCTATGAACTTAAATGTTATGTCAGAAATCGAAGAAAGAGGAGGAATAAGTCACCAGTAAAGGAGGCTACACCGGAGATAATTTCTCGGCATGATTCGGACGAGGAGGTTCTTGCGACTTTGTTCAAGTAAGTATTTTTGGTATTATTACCTACCAAGAAACACTTCAGCTATATACAAGCACCTGTCTCGTTAGGTGTACTTTGTAGCCAATCATTGCAAGAGTTACTAAATGCTTTGTTTCTTTTTATCCTGGCGGAAGAAGAACGGAACGGCAACCTGACCAACAATCCGCGGATCATGAAACGGACGGTGTTGGTTTGGACGATGACATGGACGCCGAACAGCAATCCCACGAAGATGAAATTGGCGCCACCACGGCCACCTTCACCTCTGGTTTTGATGACAATATGGATGAGCCCAGCAAGGTGGGGGATGGAGCTACAGAAGCTGAGCTGATGGATTACTTCGACTCGGAGGGTGAAACGAATGCTACGCACCCCGCAAGTAGGATAGGTCATAAAAGGAATCTTAAGCTGGTTATGGATGAAGACGAGGAGTAAAACAAAGATTGCCATGGTGCTTGCTACTTGTAAGAGGGACGGGCCAGAAGAATCAGCTTAGTACCTTTCTTTGAATACCTTCTCTTTTGGCATTGGATAGTCAAATTAAAAAGTTATGTAAATTAAATTCTACAAGCGTTCAATCAAAGATTAAATATTATTGAATCTTATATTTTGATAATGAAATCAATTGATGAAGTTATGATCTAGAAGGACTAATTTGATTATGAAAAGGTAATTCAATTAAAGCTGGAAGAATCATATGTTAGGTTAGGATGGATCATGTCAGAAGATTGAAAGTCAGGCAGGAGGCCTAGTCAACGTGTTGGAAGGACATCGTGCCATGAGTTCGGGCATCGGGTTAGACAGACATTGCATCAAAAAGATTGAATGTTGTAGGAGGTTAACATGCCGATGGATCGAGCAATACGCCAAATGAGAGAATGATACGTCGAAGGATCGGACAAAGCGCCAAATGAACCAATGACATGTCAGACAACATAGGATTTATATTTATAATTGATTATATCTAGATCGAAGTAGTTTAGGTCTAATTGAGTTAGTTTCGGGCGTAACTATGCTAACTCAAGTAGGGGCCTATTGGGCCTAAGTCGAGGCTAATTTGGGTCTATTCGGAGGCCCATTTAGTGACCCAAAATTTGGGTCAAGCGGTGACACTATTAGACCAAGTAGTGGAACCGCCTATGAGTTAAAACGTACGAAGTGTACAGTTTCGAAAGACTCGACGGTAGTATTGCTAGTGTAAGGCAATGGTACTACCCAGACATAGTCTCCAAGACTGTCAATCGATGGTACCGCCCAAATTGGGTGATGGTACCGCCAGTTATCAGGGCCACAGGCGGTGGTACCGCTAGTATCCGAAAATTCTAGGGATTTGAATTTTGGCTCCTTTTTTTAAGCTAGTTGGGGTCTATAAATATCTGAGTTATTCCTACTTGGGTAAGTAAGAAAAAAGTAGAAAGGGGAAAAGAATCCTTGAGGAAAAAATGTTGTAATCTCTTTTAAAGTTTAGAGTCTTTCCTCCTAAAGTTAGAAGTTTTCTAAGGGAGGAGTTGGGTCTTGTGTAAAAGAGAGGTGCGAAGGTTCTCTCTGTGAAAATGAGAAAGAACTGTAAAAAGGGTAGTTGATTTTCACCCATTAAAAAAAAGATTGATAATGAAAGCTGGTGGCCTCGAGTAAAGAGGAATCAGGAGTGGACGTAGGTCGGGACGACTGAACTACTATAAATCAATTTACATTTTTGTTTATACTTTTTATTCATATCATTTATTGATTTACTTGATCATTACTTTTACGCACATTGTAAGTTAAACATCTTTCCGATATGGATTTAATCGAACGAAAGTTTTTCAAATCGTCTTAACTTTTCGAAAGTACTAATTCACCCCCTCTTTTAGTGTCATTTATGATTCTAACAAATATTTAATATTAAAAAAAATTATGAACAAAATTATTTGTCTTACGATATATTATCTAAATCTAGCCATTGAATTTCAATATAATCTTAGAATGCGATCACATTTAATGTTAGTACTAAAGAATATTATATATTGACTTTTGCCAGAAAGTGTCATTATAGTCTCGATCAAAGTAAGGAATAGTTATTCACACATGTTGATTATAAATTAAAATTGATATTAATGATTTATTATGCTAATAAAATATTATTTATATCTTTTTATAATTGAGTGATGGTTATAATTTAAAGGCTCCACACCCAATTTAAGAAAGGTTATGGCCCTTGTACTTTCACATATGATGTTATCGAGTGGTTGCGAATGTAATTGGTCAACATTTGTATTGATTCACATGAAGATCCATAACAGACTATGTTAGGACCCTTTTTTCTGAGCTTTTATTTAATATTATTTATTGAGTCTGTTTAGTCAAGTTGTTTAGTACAGTTAGAATCGGATAGAGATTTATTTAATATTTATTTATTATTAAGAGTCCAAGTCCAAGTGGACTCTAGGTGAAACTCTATAAATAGTGATGTAAGACTTTAGAGTCTTATCATTTGGTATCAGAGCGACGATAAGACTTTAGGGTCTTATCATTTAGTATCAGAGCGACGATAAGACTTTAGAGTCTTATCATTTGGTATCAGAGCAGCGATCCTAGACGTTCTCATTGTAATTCATCACTAAAAAAAAAAAAAGAGAAAGAAGAGAGAGAAGAAGAAGAAGCCGCAGCCACGCACCACTGCTTCCCTTACTTGCGGCCAGCCCACCGCCGACCGTCGCTGCTCTCCGACCAACGACCGACCCTGCACCGCGTCCGGCCAGAGTCCACCGTGGCCATCGCCTCCCACTCAAGTCACCACCGCTGCTAGGAGACGACGCTACCAGCGTCTTATCCTGCCACAACCCCGCTCCCCTTCTCAACCGCCGCTGCTCCATCACCGCCGCCCGCCTCCCAGCCGCAACCCTAACCAAGCGCCCATATTTCAGCGAGGATTCATTAGTAGCACATAGAGACCGTCAGAAGCATTTCAGAAAATATTACATCACATTTCAGATTATTGAAATCAACAAACACCAACAAATCAGGAGCTAGTCTCCCAATAATTAAACTGTTTATTCAACCAGAAGTTATCTCAAATGTTTGCTGTCCAGTTACTAATCATACCTTCTCACAGATGTATTTGCAAGACAACCATCAAAATCAAAAGCAGCAACCTTTTCTGAATCATGAAGGCTGCCATCTTCCTAGCAATACAGAACTTAACATAACTCACAGTATTTGGTGGAAACCTCAAGTCACATGGCATAAAAATTAAAAATGGAGATAGATAACATGTATCATGTTTTAAAAACTCAAACCTTCTTGGCATAATGAATGTCAAATATAAATCATCAAATTCAATATGGATTGTCCATAGGAACCCAAATCCTCTTGGCATAGTGATCTTTAGAATGGTTTATCATATCAAACAGAAACATACCTTCTCACGGAAAATAACTGTCCCGATGGCTTTCCATCAAGAACAGAGCAATAACTTATGGCTTGATAATCCATTACAGTGAAACAAAAATGCTTTACAAGCTTTCAAGTACAAGAGATAAAAAAAAAATTAGCAGATAGAGAAAAGGAATAAAGAATAAACAGCACCTCGTACTTAGCTTTGGCATCAGAAATACGGAAATCCATCTGTAGGCAATTGTGTTTGTGTTCTGTAGATGAATATGAACCAGCCTAAGAAAAAAAATACATTGTATCAGAAGGTATATAAATATGAGTACCATCTCTTCCGTAGGCAAGGAATGGAAATAGTGAAAACATGTCACCGGAGAAAAATAAAGATATTGATGACACATATATGCATATCAAAAGTTAAAACTTGTAATGCTTGACCTAGTATGCTCAGTGCTGAATTTAGATGGTTTCAAGGTTCAGCGATATGAATTACCCATACTAACAAGGAAATAAAATGTTGGCTGACAGTAGATGCAGACAATAAGCACTTGTTTAATTTATGCTACAATAGATATCACATGATTAGATGAGAATACATGCTTTTCTGAAGCTTTCCAATCTCAGAGCTTGACTGATAGCTGGATCACAAACTATGATTTGTATACGGTTCTACATATTTCCATATTAATTCTAAAAAAACTACTTCAACATGAATTATCTTAACCAGTTCTACCTTGCTCTATTTGCTAATCCTATAATTCTAAATATATCTACATATGGCCATTCAACTATTGCAATATGCCACTTTGTCTACAGGTCTGTACTCATATTTTTGGAAAGATGTTTTTCATTCCCATTGGATCCCTATGCCCAAAAGAATATAAATTACCAGCATAAGCATAAAATTCAATTGGAAATAAAGGTAAATGCATTTCATCTAGTTGTATTATCTTTATAAGGATTTTATAGTTAAATTTAAAACCCCATAAATTATAGAAACAACCATGATCAGGATAATTTGATGGTTAACAAAATAACTACAAGACACTATTATGAAGACTTAAAGAACATAATGGTCTCTATCAGGAAATTCTTCGAAGAGTCATCTTTTCCATTCAGTCCCTCGGCAACTGCTTTGCTACAGTTTGATCTTTAAATAAGATAGATCTCGAACCAGCCCTAACTTAAAGCAGTTTGATAACCGGAACAAAAAACCCACCTCTTCAGTGATTTGCTTGGATGATGCGGAAGTCCCTAGCATTCTCTGGGGTAAAAAACTGATTTGACATAACACCCCGGATTTGACGTAATGCACCCTCACGTCGGACACCCTGTGCGGCACACTGCTCCAGAACGAGCATTAACAACGACACGACGCGCATCCACACCCACCATACCCAAACAGCCTCCTCGGCTGACCCCTCATGGCCGGCCAAGGCAGGCGAAGGCGCTGACTGACACCCCCATACCCTGCGGCAGCTCGGCCTTCCACGCAACGACCGTGACGACAGACGCCATCAGAGGTACGACCCTGCCCCGGCAGGATGGCCCATCAGGTAACATCAAATCCACTTATAAATACCCCCTGGCTCCCAACAGAAAGGGGGAGAACGATCTCACCAAGAAGCTCCTCTCCGCTTCACTGACTTGATCGTCGGAGGGGTCGGGCCGAGCAACCGACCCGACCTGTGTGCAGGTACTCGACCGCCGCTGAATCCGCTTGGAGTCGCAGAACTTTCCGGCCGGATCCCCCGCGGCAGCCACCACAACATCCCAAGGGGAGCCACGTCTGATCTCGGCCATTTGGAGCCCTGAACCAGCCGCGTCGACCCCGAGGTCACGGCTGAAAAAGTTACTTACCGTAATATATTGGCGCTAGAAGGAGGGCCCATCCAAATGTCAAGCGATCAGCGAATCCACTTCGGCGGACCCTCGACTACTGGGCTCCCCGCCTCGGGGGAACACCCCCTACGTGATGAAACCCACGACGAACGCCCCGCGGCGGTGTCAGAACGCTACTGGCAACTGTTTAATGACCCAGGCTTGTCGCCTCCCGGCGATACACCCGCCGGCCCGTCGCAAGTGCCACCCGAGGCCTTTCATGACCTCGCCCACCAGGTCCGAACCCTGACAAGCATGGTGCAGACTATCGTCCCAATCGTCTCCCAGCGAGCCCCTCCGCATGCGACCCGACCTTCGCAGCAACGGGAGCCCCCTGTCCGGACTCACGCATCGCTTCCAGAGCTTCCTGTCTCGCCTCGAAACCCCACAACTCGGCCTGGGAGCCGGGAAGCGGAGGACACGGCGAGCTGCCCCAAGCCCGAGGCTCCGACCGCCGACTCGACGAATGCCTTGCGAGCTCAGCTGCGCCTCGTCAGTCAAAAACTGGACGAGGTACAACAGGAAGTTCGCAAGTCAAAAGGAGAGCTCGGGGCGGACGGACACCAAGGATCCCCGTTCACCCCCGAGATACAAGAGCAGGCGATCTCGCCACACTTCCGCCTCCCCTCGCTGGACGCGTATGATGGCGCCGCTGACCCAGCGGACCACGTGGCCGCTTTCCGCACCCAGATGGCGCTGTACGAGACTTCTGACGCTTTAATGTGCAGGGCATTCCCGACGACTCTGCGGGGGCCAGCCCGCGCATGGTACAGCGGCCTGAAGCCCGGGACCATCGCCTCCTTCGATCAGCTCGCCAAGGATTTCGAGCTTAACTTCTTGGCCTACGCCCGACCGAAGCCGTCCATGGCGCTGCTCCTCGGGCTCAACCAGAAGGAGGACGAGCCCCTCTCCCATTTTGTGAACCGCTTTATGACGCAGATCCGCGGATTATCGGATGCTCACCCCTCTCTCTTAATGCAGGCATTCATGACAGGCCTACGACCCTCCAGGTTCTTCTGGTCGCTCGTAGAGCGGCCCCCCGCCGCGGTCCCCGAAATGCTCCAGCGTGCCAGTCAATTCGTCGCCGCGGAGACTTGGATGGCTGGGAAGCGGGAGGATCACAAAAAGGTCAAGTCAGAGCCGTCCCGACAGCTACAACCCGTCGCCTCCCGGCGGAGGACAGACAGACCCGAATCAAGGTCTCCTCTTCCCGCCTTGAATTCGTCCCGAACCGAAATATTCCTGCATGAGAAGGGGAAGGGGCTGCTCAAGGACCCTCACCCGATGAGGAACCCGCGGGAGCTCGCAGACCGTTCAAGGTATTGCCGATTTCACCGATAGCACGGGCACGACACTGAGCAGTGCTACGAGTTGAAGAGGCAAATCGAGGAGCTTATCCTCAGAGGACACCTCGGCCAGTATCTCCGGCCGAACAAGGAGCAGTCGCCTCGACCGGAGGGCCCCGTCGAGCGGCACGTCAATGTGATAGCCGGGGGCCCTGCATCAGGGGGAGGCTCCATGTCGGGCAGAAAGGCGTATGCCCGAGCCGCTCCTGACGAAGCCTCGGGACACGAGCCTGAGCTCGAGATTACCTTCCCAACCGGAGCTTCCGAGCGCCCCGACCACGACGACGCCTTAGTGATATCGGCCAGGGTAGCCAACGCGCAAGTGAGGAGAATCATGGTCGACACAGGGAGCTCGACCGATATACTTTACTTCGACGCCTTCCAGAAGCTGGGCTTGGCCAGGGAAAATCTGAGCCCGATGTGCTCGACACTCACCGGTTTCACGGGAGATTCAATATCACCCCTGGGAGCTGTTACTTTGCCCTTGACTCTGGGGACCCCGTCGAGGTCGAAAATGGTGATGACCACATTCTTGGTGGTCGACCTTCCCACTGCCTACAATGCCATACTCGGCCGGCCGACCCTCAACAAGGTCAGAGTCATCGTCTCAACCTACTACCAGACCATCAAGTTCCCAACTCGTGCTGGAGTCGGGGAAGTCACGGGAAGCCCCCGAGAGTCCAGGCGGTGCTACCTTACCGTCGTCTCGTTGGGAAAGAGAGCTAGGACCGAGGCGCCCTTGGAAGACCCACGGGAAACAAAAAAACTGGCTCCTCATCTCGAGCCGAGGGGATCCACTGTTGACGTACCCTTGCGAGAAGCTCGGCCAGACCAGGCGATCAAGATCGGATCGGAGCTGCCCGAGCGGGAGTAGGAACGACTCGTCGGGCTCCTACGGGAAAATGCCGACATCTTCGCCTGGTCCCCATCAAACATGACGGGTGTCGACCCGGAGGTCGCGGAGCATCATCTCAATATCCCACCCGACGCTCGCCCAGTGAAGCAAAAGCCCCGGCGCCAGGCTCCTGACCGACAACGCGCCATACAAGAAGAGGTGGACCGGCTCCTAGCAGCAGGCTTCATAGAAGAAGCCAAATATCCTCGATGGTTGTCCAATGTAGTCCTCGTGAAAAAACACAATGGAAGCTGGAGGATGTGCGTTGACTACACCAGCCTTAACAGTGCGTGCCCTAAAGACTGCTACCCCCTCCCGAAGATCGACCAGCTGGTCGACGCAACAGTTGGGCACGCATGCCTATCTTTCATGGACGCCTATTCAGGGTACAACCAGATCAGGATGGCGCCCGAAGATAGAGAACATAAGGCTTTCCTCACCGATCAAGGGGTATACTTCTACAAGGTCATGTCGTTCGGGTTAAAAAATGCTGGGGCCACATACCAGAGAACGGTGAACAAGATGTTCGCCCATCAGATCGGGAGGAACATGGAGGTCTACATGGATGATATGATCGTGAAAAGCCAAGAAGCCGAAACGCACCTTGCCGACCTGGCCGAGGCATTCGCCACACTACGCAAGTTCGGCATGCGACTCAACCCCACAAAATGTGCTATCGGCGTCACCTCCGGGAAATTCCTCGGGTTCATCGTACACGAGAGAGGAATTGACGCCAACCCAGAGAAGGTTCAAGCAATAATCAACATGCAGTCCCCCCGGACGATTAAAGACCTGCAGCAACTTAACGGAAGGCTTGTCGCCCTGTCTCGCTTCCTCGCCCGGTCGGGCGATCGCTGCCTCCCATTCTTCAAGGCGCTCAAAAACCCGAGGAACTTCCAGTGGACATCGGAATGCGAGGAGGCCTTCAAACAAATGAAGCAGCACCTGGCCAGCCTCCCCCGCCTCGCCTCTGTCTCTCCCGGTGAGAAGCTGGGCCTCTATTTAGCGGCCTCCCTGCGTGCAGTCAGCTCTGTCCTGATTAAGGAAAGCTCCGGCCAACAACTCCCGATCTACTATGTCAGCCACGTCCTGAGTGGACCTAAGGAGCGTTACCCGCCAATAGAAAAACTTACGCTCGCCCTGGTGCTCTCGGCTCGGAA